TCAGAGTCTAAATATTAAGAAAAGTCTTATTTCCTGATCCTTCTCTTCTCCTTCTCCTCATTCACTTAATTCCTTTTCCAAGAATATACATAAATCATTTAAAAGCTAAAATTCAATGCAAGACATCTTTGCATTTTGATGTGTTCAGTTAAACAAATACCTTATTTACTTACCCTCATCTAATTTCTTAACCCTTTGTTTTTATTTTGATTATCATGACTTTTATAGCTAAACAAATTGCTTTATTTATACTATTTTTACACAACTTTTACATATTTATTGATGCATACTAAAATTGTGGATAATGTATGTCTTTTTTACAAGAAACTGATGCGTTATCAGTTGCCAAGATTGTTATTAATTGATCTGTTTTTTTCACATCACATTTCACATCAATTACTTATTCATTGTTCAATTAATTTTTGTTTCATCTGCTTATACTTTAAGAATATAACACATTCTGGAATGAAGATGCATAATACTTTTCAATGACGTGTACTCCCTATGATTTTCAGTTTTTTCACATCGCCTTACATATTTTTATGCAACAAGTTTTGGAGATAATAATAATAGTGGAATTAACTATGTCATATTTCTGCCTTTATTTTTGGCTTCCACTGAAATGTTTTAAATGTTAAGTTTCCTACTTAAAAAAAGTATATAAATTATGTATCCAAAAATATTACAATTTTAAGTCAGTGACCTATCTTTTTAACATAGCTTAAAGTCCTAACTAAAAGCAACTTTCAAAATTAATGGCTCTGCCACCATCTTCTTAACCTTTTAAAGTTATTCTTCCCCAAGGGATAGAGTATTATTTTACTGAGAAACTCTACATAAGAGTGAAAGCTATAAATTTTTAGGTCCTGATCCTCATGTGGTCCAAGGTGAATAAATAGTTTTCTAGGGTGAATTCATGTGAGTCACATTCGATTTCTAAGTGCCATGGGTTACTGCTTAACACTATGAAAGAGGCACTTTATAAAAATAATGCCAGAGAAGTGTTCTGTTTGCTTTACTTGGATGACTACATTTTCTTTTTTTTCTTTATTCCTTCACAACTTTTCTGCTCTCTAAAGAACAGTTAATTAACTCTATTATGTGATCAGATACACAAAGATCGTATCTTCTTGATTTAGGACAATATAACATCTGTCTTTCAGCCTGAAAATATATACTACTTTGCAAAATCTCATGACTCTAAAAGTTTATTTCCATCACTGAATGTTACGAAAAAATTCTGCTACTGCAGATTTTGGATACACAAGGAGTGCAATGCGCACTACCCAAAGGATGGACATATTTAAAACACGGACTTGGGGGGGCGGAACCAAGGGCAACACACGTAACCTAAACATCTGTACCCCCATAATATGCTGAAATTAAAAAAAAAATTCTGCTACTGCTTTCTTTGTGACATCACTGAATTTTCTGCTAAAAAGGATTTATTGTATATGACTAAATCAAATTTATCTTCCAAATATTTTTACTTATTTCACTATAAAAACTCATGGACATTTATCTTAAATAATAGAGTAATTAGCTAAGCTTACAGCTTGTATTTTACTGGTTATCTAATCAGTACAATGTCTATAATACAGAGTGTATCTAATTTCCACATTACATCCCAATCCCTTTCATTTGGTGTCTCATTCCTGCCCACACTCAGAGATGACACATTTCTATCATGATTTTCTGTCTAACAAGATTATCTGTATGTAAGAGATTTCTATCCATCTATCAAGTTTTTTACCTTTTTTATTGTTTCAGAATATTAGAGGGGTAAAAATGTTTTGATTACATAATTTGCTTTTGTACAGTTTGGGTCAAAGTTATAAGTGGGTCCATCAATGATAGCATGCATTGTACCCATTAGGTGTGAATATACCCATCCCCTCCCCCCGTCCCACCTGCTTGATTTCTATTGAGTTTTACTTCCATAGGTGCACATAAGTGTTGCTCAATTAGTTCCAATTTAGTATTGAGTACATGTGGTATTTGGTTTTCCATTCTTGTGGTACTTCTCTTAGAAGAATGGTTCCCAGTTCCATCCAGATTGTTACAAAAGATAATAGTTCACCATTTTTTAAGGCTGAGTAGTACTCCGTGCTATACATATACCACATTTTATTAATCCACTCATGTATTGATGGACACTTGGGTTGTTGCCTCATCTTTGCGATTGTGGATTCTGCTGCTATAAACATTCAAGTATAAGCATATTTAAAAAAATGTGCTTCTCCAGCTTCTTAAAACCCACTTATTAAACTAAATTGGACAACATAGCCAATGTTTCCCTTAGGTTCTGCCTCTGTTGCAGAATGTGTGTCACAAATAGAATTGAATATTTGAGAATAGATGTAGTAGAGAAGAGTGAATACTGAAAGTGGGTCACTTTGCTACTTCGTGAGTGGTTATCATCATAATCATATGATCTATTAGTCAATTGGCTAAATATTACTATAATGGTTTCTCATTAGTGTTACATAAAAACTTACCATTTTAAGATTCAACCATGCTAGCTGAGAGACTAAAAATTTATTGATAAAATGATCACCTATA